GGGTTCAAGCGATTCTCCTGTCAAACTGCTGGGATTACAGGCATGAGCCACCGTGCCCAACCTTTTTATTTTATTTTATTTTATTTATTTGAGATGGAGTTTCTCTCTGTCACCCAGGCTGGAGTGCAGCGGCGTGATCTTGGCTCACAGCAGCCTCCGCCTACTGGGTTCCAACGATTCTCCTGCCTCAGCCTCCCGAGTAGCTGGGATGACAGGTGCCCGTCACCACGCCCAGCTAATTTTTGTATTTTTAGTAGAGACGGATTTCACCATCTTGCCCAGGCTGGTCTTGAACTCCTGACCTCATGATCCACCCGCTTTGGCCTCCCAAAGTGCTGGAATTAGAGCCATTCTTTATGCCTTTACTCTTTTTTTTTTTTTTTTTTTTTTTGAGACAGAGTCTTACTCTGTCACCCAGGCTGGAGTGCAATGGCACCATCTCAGCTCACTGCAAACTCTGCCTCCTGGGTTCACGCCATTCTCCTGCCTCAGTCTCCCAAGTAGCTGGGATTGCCAGTGTGAGCCACTACGCCCAGCTAATTTTTGTATTTTTAGTAGAGACGGGGTTTCACCATATTGGTCAGGCTGGTCTCGATCTCCTGACCTCGTGATCCGCCCGTGTCGCCCTCACAAAGTGCTGAGATGACAGGCATGAGCCACTGTGCCCGGCCGGAAGATTTCTTTCTGTCTTGCAATCCCTTTATTAGATTCCCTGACGTGTTCATCCCATTCAGGCTTCATGTTACTTCAGTAATAAAATAACTACCTTTTTGTTTGTTTGTTTGAGATGGAATTTTTGCTCTTGTCGCCCAGGCTGGAGGGCAGTGGCGTGATCTCGGCTCACTGCAATCTCTGCCTCCCGGGTTCAAGCGATTCTCCTGCTTCAGCCTCCCGAGTAGCTGGGATAACGGGCATGAGCCACCACGTCCAGCTAATTTTGTATTTTTTCGTAGAGACGGGGTTTCACCGTGTTGGCCAGGCTGGCCTCGAACTCCTGACCTCAGGTGATCCGCCCGCCTCGGCCTCCCGAAGTGCTGGGATGACAGGCATGAGCCACCGCGCCCGGCTAATGCCGGCTTCTTCGCGGCCATAAAACTTTCCCGGAGAGAGAATTTACAACACTCCTTATTTCTCAGATGTTTCTGCTTTTCATCAGAAAAGGGAAGCTCTAAGAAGCTTCTTTCTAGATCCGTTGATCCTCAAATGCCTCAGTTCAAAAGAATTTATATGACAATGTGGCTTTTGTTTTGTTTTGTCTTCCGAGACGGAGTGTCACTCTGTCACGCAGGCTGGAGTGCAGTGGCGTGGTCTCGGCTCACAGCAACCTCTGCCTCCGAGGTTCAAGCAATTCCCTTGCCTTAGCCTTCCGAATAGCTGGGATTACAGGTGCCCGCTATCAGGCCCAGCTCATTTCTTTTTTTTTTTTTTTTTCTTTTGTATTTTAGTAGAGACGGGGTTTCACTACGTTGGCCAGGCTGGTCTTGATCTCCTGAACTTGTGATCCACCCGCCTCGGCCTCCCAAAGTGCTGGGATGACAGGCATGAGCCACCGCACCCAGCTTGTTTTGTCAACCTTATAATGTCTGTTTTTTGTTTTTTGTTTTTTGAGACAGGGTCTCGCTCTGTCACCCAGGTTCGAGTACAGTGGCATGATCTCAGCTCACTGCAACCTCCGCCTCCTGGGTTCAAGTGATTCTCCTGCCTCAGCCTCCCGGGTAGCTGGGACGACAGGCATGTGCCACCACATCTGGCTAATACTGTATTTTTAGTAGAGACGGGGTTTCACCATGTTGGTCAGGCTGGTCTCGAACTCCCGACCTCAGGTGATCCGCCCGTCTCGGCCTCCCACAGTGCTGGGATGACAGGCCTGAGCCACCGCGGCCGGATAATTTTTGTATGTTTGGTAGAGACGGGGTTTCACCACGTTGGCCAGGCTGGTCTCGAACTCCTGCCCTCAGGTGATCCGCCCGCCTCGGCCTCCCGAAGTGCTGGGATGACAGGCGTGAGCCGCCGCACCTGGTCCCCATTCCTGTTACTAAGCGTCCCTGGTTACCGGTGGGGACTGGCAGGGACGGCTGCAGACGCGAGCATATGTCATCAGCCACTAGAGGGCAGCCATGGCCAAGGACCGCCCAGCAGTTCACAGGTGGTTGTGGGCTAATGCTCACATGGACCACACCTTGAGAAGTGGGAAAAGCTTTAGAAGCTGTCTGGGCCGGGTGTGGTGGCTCACACTTACAATCCCAGCACTTTGGGAGGCTGAGGCAGCAGGATCCCTCGAGTCCAGAAGTTTCAGGCTAGCCTGGGCAACATAGTGAGACCAACATAGTGAGACCAACATAGTGAGACACCATCTCAAAAAATAAAAATAAAAAAAAAATTAGCTGGACGTGGTAGCGTGTTCCCGTTGCCCCAGCTACTGGGGAGGCTGTGGTGGGAGGATCGCTTGAGTCTGGGAGCTGGAGGTTGCAGAGTAAGCTAAGATCACGCTGCTGCACTCCAGTCTGGGCGACAGACGGTAATTCTGCCTTTAAAAAAAGGGAGGAAAAAAAAAAGAAAAAGAGGCCGAGCGGGGTGGTTCATGCCTGGAATCCCAGCACTTCGGGAGGTAGAGGCTGCAGGATCACTGGAGGTGAGGAGTCAGAGGCCAGCCTGGGCCACATAGTGAGACCCTGTCTCTAAGAAAAAGGAAGGAGAAGGAAGGAATAAGGAAAGGAAGGAAGGAAGGAAGGAAGGAAGGAAGGAAGGAAGGAAGGAAGGAAGGAAGGAAGGAAGGAAGGAAGGAAGGAAGGAAGGAAGGAAGGAAGGAAGGAAGGAAGGAAGGAGAGAAAGAAAGAAAAAAGAAGAGAAACAAACCTAAGAGAAGGAAGGAAGGGAAAAGAGAAAGGAAAGAAAGAGGAAGAAGGAGGAAGGAAGGAAAAGGAAGAGAAAGGAAAGAAAGAGAGAGAGGCTCCTTCCTACCTCTCCCAGCCCCTGGGGGCTCCAGGTGTCCCTGGGCTTGTGGCCGCATCACTCCACGTTTCCCATGCTTGCTGGATTTATCGTGAGACAGGACTGGGGGCTACATGTTTAACCCCCCCTTAGAGCCTCCTCCAGAAGGAACCAAACACAGTTTGCAATGGGTTGGGATGGTAACCCAAAAGATTTTGTTTTGTTAAGATCTGTTAGTGGATGCACGTAGACAGGAAGGAAGGAAGGAAAGAAAAGAATGTTAAACTTCTTTCTCTCTCTTTCTTTTCTTCCTCTCTCTCCAGTGTCTGCCTCGGTCATCACGTGGCCTTCTCTGTGTCATTAGCTTCCGGCCCCACTCAAATATTCCAGCATGACCTAATTGTGACCTCCTTCGCTAATGGTACCTACAGAGACCCTTTTTTCCAAATAAGGGCCCATTCACAGCCAGCCTTGGCCTAAACGCGCCCCTCTGTGGTGGTGCAATCTCAGCTCCCTGCAGCCTCGGCCTCCCAGACTCAAACAATCCTCCCGTCTCAGCCTCCCGAGTAGCTGAGACCACAGGCACGCACCACCCTGCCCAGCTAATTTTTGTAATTCTTGTAGAGACGGGGTCTCACCGTGTTGCCCAGGCTGGTCTTGAACTCTCCAGGGGAGCAGAAGGGAGGGGGGAGGAGGGGAAGGGAGTGGAGAGGAGGGGAGGAGTGGAGGGGAGGGGAGCGGATAGGAGGGGAGGAGGGCAGCGGAGCAGAAGGGAGGGGGAGGAGGGGATGGGAGGGGGGAGGAGGGGAGGGGAGGGAAGCAGAAGGGAGGGGTGAGGGGAGGAGAGGGGGATAGGAGGAGGTGGAGAAGGGGAGGGGAGGGGAGCGGATAGGAGGGGAAGAGGGGATGGGAGGGGAGGGGGGCTAGGAGGAGGGGGAGAAGGGGAGGGGAGGGGAGTGGGGAGGGGAGGAGTGGAGGGGAGGGGAGCGGATAGGGGGAGGAGGGGAGCAGAGCAGAAAGGAGGGGAGGAGGGAGGGAGGGGAGGGGAGGAGGATGGGAGCAGAGAGGAGGGGGGGTGGGAGAGGGAGGGGAAGAAAG